TTATGTGATCACTAGTATTTTGCATTCTTTTATGTAATTGGTCAAATTTATTTTTAGTAAGTATAGTAAATAATATTTTTTTGTAGAAAAATAATTTTTTTTTATATCTGCGTTTTTAGTTAAAACAATTTATAATTTGAAATAGACGAGGGAGCATATGATTAATCATTAAAAAAATCCAATTGCCTTCTTACTGAAAATCATTAAACAATACAAATTAATTCAATTTTCTTTATTTCCTAAAAATTGGTTGCAGTGTCAGTCCATACCGCTCAATAAAGCAGATCACCAATGGCTAATAATACAACGACACGTAAGTAAGCCCGTTTACGAGGCTCCACTTTATAGACAAAAAGTGCAAATTGTCTATTTCCGTAATTTCGCAAATCGTTCATGGGTCTCTCTCTTTTCTCCATCTTCTTCATCAATCATCATAAAGTCTCTCAGATTTCTCTCTCTCTCAATAAACAAACTCATTTCGTCCCCTGAGATTATCCATATCTTCACCGGAATTTGTAATCGGAGTTCTCTAACCCCGAGATAACTCGTATAAACAAACCTCTTCGGGTTTATCAGTTCCTGAAACCCTAGGTTAACAAAAACCGAAATGGATGGGGTTAAAAACGGTAATCGGAGCAGTAGCGACGGTGGAGGAGGATCCGAAACCATGGAATCATCGGAGATTCAGCTTCCTCAACCTCAACCTGTGGCGATTCTAACTGCAAATGCGCCTCCTCCGTTTTTGAGCAAAACGTATGACATGGTTGCAGATCCCGCTACCGATTCGATTGTCTCGTGGAGTTCTAGTAACAACAGTTTTATCGTCTGGGATCCACCGGAGTTTGCACGAGATCTTCTTCCTAAGAACTTCAAACACAATAATTTCTCCAGTTTCGTGAGGCAGCTAAATACCTATGTATTTCCTCTTTTCCCCTCTCACTTTTATTTCCATAGTTGGTTACAATGGCAAGATTGTGAACTAGGTTTCTTAGGTTTTTATGGATTTTTGCTTTTCATTGTTATTGCCATGTCCTGCCTAAGTTTCTGCTATGAGTATGCTTGATGCTTAACTTACTCAGCAATGGGAGTTTCTAGCTTGTGTTATGCTTCAGGTCGCTATATCTATTGAACAATTGTTTAGCCAATAGAGAACTGGATAATTGGCTTTTGAAGTGTGTTTTTTCTTACGGTCTTATTCATTCGTTGCCATTTGGTAAATAGTTAGACCTTATGATTGTTTGCTTCTAAACCTCAAGGGTTTGAAATTTCGATAGCTCTATCAGGGATAGGCTCAATAGCTTTCTTGTCAGGAAGATTAGCAGATTTCTTGTGGAATGCAGATTCCTGGTGTAAATAAATGGTGTATATGACATAAAAGATTTGTTAAGGGATTTGATGAAGCTTACACTACATATTACATTCAAAGTTAGGGGGATAAAAATAGCTGAGGGAAGTCTCTTGTCTTTTTTAAGTGTTACTGATTGGATTAGTGTTCCAGATATTTCTTTTTCTGTCCAGCCATTGTTTTAACTTGGAGATGTGAAACTCAGATAAAGATGTATCCTTTAATGTCTTTAGCTTGGTCATGATCAGGTTTAGTAATAGCCTAAGATAGTAATAAACCTTCCTAATTTTCTCAGCATTATAAAGGAGAAGAAAGAAGAAAAATGGAAAAGAGAGCAAGTCTCGAGTTGATGATGACCTGAGTGTAAGGTTATCGACTCTCTGATTTAGGTATCATCTTGTTGTAAATGTGTTAAGGTTTAATAAGAGGAAGCACACCTTTTAAAAACCCAAAAGAGCAATGGGATTTGACATTTGACAATGCCTATAGTCGAATGCAGCTCACAAGTAGATATATGAATGTCTGGTGTCACATTCTCTGTGATGTTATTAGTCTGCTTTTGCATCTTTTTGCTGGCATTATAGTTGCGGGAATCATAGATTTGCTCTTATTGCTGCAAGGTGGTGAATGCACTTATATAAGCTGGATTTCCACAGACAGTTCTTGCTTTTAGTGCAATTGTTTTTGAATGGACTGTGCTGCATTCCCAAATAGTATTGTTCCGTAGATGTTGTTTTTGTAGTAGATGATGTATTACACGTTGGGAACTATATCCAAGCAATACGCAATCTTTATTAGTTGATCGCATGCGGAATCTGGCATAAACTGATGTATCATAGAAACCTTATGCTCTTGTAGTCTTCTGTGATCCCTATTGGTTCTTTTGGATTTTCCTTTCGTTTGGCTGGTAGGTAAGACCCATAATAGGAACATGTATTTCACAGTTTTCCTGCTTTATGGTTGAGTAGATCAGATGACCACTATTGGTCTGCTACGATTACTTGTTTTCTGAATAAAAATTGCTCAAGCATTTGATTCCATTTAAATTTCTGTGTCTATGTCTGTGTGAATCTGAGTAGTTGGCATTTAAATGTTGCATTGAAGTTATTAGATTGGAACCTGCTGTTAGTTTGTCCTATCGGAAGACGTCTTTCTCGTTTGTTAATCCTTGCTCATTCGATTTTTACTTGCATTTTCTTGAATCAGGGTTTCCGAAAGGTTGACCCAGATAGATGGGAATTTGCGAATGAAGGTTTCTTAAGAGGTCAGAAACATTTGCTAAAAACAATAACTAGGCGAAAATCTGCACATGGACATGGACAACAGCAATCTCAACATTCAAATGGGCAAAACTCATCGGTTAGTGCATGTGTTGAAGTTGGCAAATTTGGTCTCGAAGAAGAAGTTGAGAGGCTTAAAAGAGATAAGAACGTCCTTATGCAAGAACTCGTCAGATTAAGACAGCAGCAACAATCGACTGATAACCAACTTCAAACCATGGTTCAGCGTCTTCAAGGCATGGAGCAACGGCAACAACAATTAATGTCATTCCTCGCAAAGGCAGTACAAAGCCCGCATTTTCTATCACAGTTCTTACAGCAGCAGAATCAGCAAAACGAGAGTAGTAGGCGTATCAGCGATACCAGCAAGAAACGGAGATTCAAGGGAGATGGCATTACCGGAAATAAAGATTCCGCTGCTTCTCCTGATGGACAGATAGTGAAATATCAACCTCCGATGCACGAGCAAGCAAAAGCAATGTTCAAACAGCTCATGAAGATGGAACCTTACAAAACCAGCGATGATGGTTTCCTTCTTGATAACAGTACTTCTTCTACTACAGAAGGAGCAGAGATGGAGAGTTCATCAAACCACGTATCGGGTATAACACTTCAGGAGATGCCAACAGCTTCTGAGGTACAATCATCAACACCAAGTGGAGCCACTCCTGAAAATGTAACAGTAGCCGAGTTTCCAACACCCAAAGGAACAGTTCATTCACCTGATGATCTAACTCTATCCGAATTCGCTGATATGCTACCAGAAAACATCGCCAATTTGCCTCCAGAGAGTTTCGTGGAACCAAACATGGGAGGATCTAGTCCTTTCCTAGACTTAGATCTCTTGTCAAGCGATTTTGACTTCGATGACATTCCAGTGGATCCCGATTTAGAACCTTCTGATGATTATGCCTCGCAACTTGAAAATTTTCTCATGTCAAGCCCGGTTCCAGTTGATATGGATCTTACACCATCGGATCTTAGAACCGAAGACAATGCGACACAGCAGAAACAAAACGGATGGGACAAAACTAAACATGTGGATAAACTTACTCAACAAATGGGTCTCCTCTCTCCTGAAACCATAGATCTCTCAAGGTAATCAATCAAGAAAGATAACAGCTTTAGTTCATCAATCAGACAAAAACTCTAATAAAGTCAAACTAGATTTGCTTATGATGTTTGTTTTCATTTCAGGCAAAACCCGTGATTTTCGGAGTTTTAGTGTCTTTTCGAGGTAACCAACAGCTCTTATTTGCCACTGAGACTGCAAACATATTCATGCACTGATCATTTTGTTTTCTTTCTTTTGATCGAATTTGTATAACATTCCTACCGCACTTACACACACACACTCACTATCAAGCGTGTCAAGTTTCAATCTCTTGTTGAATTTTTCCTCAAGAACATTTTTTCTTTTCTTTGAAGCCCATTTGTTAGAAGAAGAGCAATGTCAACTTATAAGGTCTTTTGCAACTTTGAGCTCCAACTTTGGATGTAATTTAGGTCAGCATAAACACTGAACCGAACTAAATTTGTTTAACAAAAACTAAATTGAGTCGAATCTAAGTTTAGTGTAAGCAAACCAATCTAAGTAAACTGAACTAAAATGCATCTGGTTCTTAGGTTGGATATCTCTTTGTCTCAATCCCAGAAAACCCTAATACCAAAAGACCTATCTTTGCAATCATCTAATGAAAAAACAAAGTGGTAACAAAAAGAACAAAACTTGTGAGAAAAGAGACTACTTCTCTATCTTTCTAACAAAAGGATGAAGAAGAAACTCCTCCACAGTGCCTCTCTTCCTCCAATCTTTCTCCAAACATCTCTCAACAAACCCTCTAAACTCGGGCGAACCACTCACCGGAATCTCTACTTTCTCACTGCAACAAATCGCGCAAATCAGAGCTGCCCAATCCGGTTTATCCCCATCTTTGATCAATGAATACCTTCCAAGATAACACTCAAGAACCACAACTCCTAATGACCACACATCTCCTGCTAATCCAACTTCTCCAAATCTCCGTTCTTGTTGATCCAAACGTTCTGGACTCATATACGCACAGGTCCCGTTTGAATCACATTCTCCTCCGGCTACAATCATACTCACTCCGAAATCCGCAATCTTGACCTCTCCTTTCACGTCAGTTTTAACAAACTCAAAATATTTGTGGTTTTCAGGTAGTAGTGGTGATGTGATAATCAATTGTTTCTAAAATTTTTTAGGATAAAAATAGGTTTTGAATTTTGTGATTTAATCACTTTTGGTTAATTTTTCCCCCCGTACATCTAGTAAGAATCTTTGTTATAGTTAGGAAGATGATAACAGTAACCTAAATTTTTTAGATGAATAAATTTCTAAAAGAAATATGAAGAATATTTCAGGTAATTATTATCTAGACATAAAATTTATAATCATCAAATAAAACATAAATCGAAAGTTGTATTGTGTATTATTCATTTATTTGTTTGTTTGAGAAATTAAGATGAATTTTTTCCGTCAACAACATGCATTATTCGAACTTAAACTATGGTAATCACACGGTACCAACACTAACACAAGGCACTATTCTACTATGCTAAATGTCATGGTTAAATATTTGGATTTTTCTTTTGTTGTTTACAACTTACACACAC